AATCACATAGACCATTCGTTATTTTGTTTGTTGTCACATCATAAAAATAATTACATTGTACATTATTATCGAAACTTTTGGAAAAGTTAAATATGTTCGAGCCACCGGTTGTAAAGTCTATCGCTATCACCACCATTATTTTATTGGATATAATCGGATTGCACAAATGGTCTAGTTACTATAGTTTCTGTGATGTTACGTTAAGTAAGATTAATTAATGCATAGATATTCCAACCAATAACAGTGACTTTAATTTCATAAACAAAGTGAATCTTTATGTCGATAGAACCAGATAAAGTTTCATTAATAAATGTTTAGTTATGCAGAGTTATAAAAGCATGAGTTATTAAAGCATCAGTTATTAGGGTATTTTAATTGTTCTTTTGTATATTTCTAGCATCTTGTTAGCTTTTAATATATTTCGCCGTTCGAAAAAATCTAGTAAAAAACATTAAGGAATTTTCGCTTTTCTTTTTGTTAGCAAATGGATTATATAAAACAAGATCCTGTCTAAAAGAAGAATGGCAGAGGAAAATGGTACAAAACAAACAATTAAAACTCGTAAATGGCAACAAAGGCAATTAGCCCAAGTACAAGAATTGTAATTCCTTCTATATTTAATCCAATTAAACAACAAGGTGATGGTGAAATATGCGGTATTCGAAGCGGAAGCATGAATCCAGTTGAAAATCCTATCATTCCTGTTTTTTCACATATGCCAGGAATACCCATATAGATTATACTCACCTACGATATGTTCTCAAAATACCTACGGTTTGGTGTTTAGATGAACATGATGTCAATTCTAAAGAAAAGAGTAGGTGAGGCTTAGAAGCCTTCAGTTACCTATTTTTTTTTTTTTTTTTTTTTTTGGTGTTGACTACTCTTTGTTTGAAGTTTACTACTATTTCATATTTGTTTTGATTACTATACTGTACATATTTTTTACTAGTATATATAAAAACAAGGTAATTTTGGACTACTATACATGTTATAAACTAAAAAAGAAAAACCAAAAACAAAAAAATAGTCTCTGTTTTATTGTTGTTATTCAATTGCACAAAACTTCTATGGTGTACAAACTTCTAATAATCTATGGTGTACAAACATATCATCTATGGTGTACAAACTTCTAATGCACAAAATGTGCATCAACAGCTTGTACATAATAGGTGGCAAGTGTCATCTACGGTCTTGTTAAAATAATCTACTGTTTTATTATTGTTATGCAATTGTTATGTCGTTCATATGACATAATAAATCTATATCACTATCGAATCAACCCAAATAACATATGACATAATAAATCTATATCACTATACATGTAATAAAAAAAAACTCAGCAAACCATAAATACAGTGTCGTCTATGGTGTACAAACTGTTAATGCACATTTTGTGCATCAACGTCTTGTACACTGTAGGTGGATACCGCACCTATGATTTTGTTATTTTTTTGCAAAAACATTATACTCAACACTATTAGATTTCAAGGTAACTATAGAATGCAAATAAATATCGAAGTTTTCAAGAAAAACCTAATTGTTGTTCGTAACCGCCATAGAGAACATTTCTCTAGTTCCAAACAACAAAAAAAATGTCCTAAATAGAAAATATTAACTTTATTTATTTTGGGCTAATGGGTTCCAAAACCGTAGCTCATTCTCCCTAAATCGTAGGTTATTACCTCCGGAACTCACCAAACAATATGTTTTTAGATGAAATTGTAGGTTTCCTTAAAATCTACTGTTTTGGAAGTCTATTTCCGACTAAAATCTAGTTTTTGGCTATTAATCGAAAACTTATTATAAAATATGGCTAGATTCATAAATTAGTCTAAAAAACCGTAAAAAAAAGTCATTTCATTTCAATTTATCCTTAAATCATTCGTATAAAACCCCTAAATAATTAGATTTTTCTTATCTTTTTTATTTTATAAAATTAATATAGATTATTTATAAATTTATATTTATTTTTTAAAATCATTTATACAAATTATATAAAATCATATTATTATTTATTATTGTTTATATTTATTTAACTTCTAATTCCTCATTTTAAAAATCATTTATTTTTCTTTGATTTTTTGTATTGACGTTTTGTTCGAATATACATATTAATATTAATTTCCAAGTTATACATATGCTAATCCAAAACGGTTATAAGCTAATCTGGAACAGATTTACAATTATATATATATATATATATATATATATATATATATATATATATATATATATATATATATATATATATATACACACACACTAGCCGTTTATGCGCGTTAAGCAACGAGTTGTGAATAGTTTGTTTAAGCAATAATTCATTCAAGAATTTATTATATTTCAAGGAACACAAAATAGATATGCATTGTTATCGGTTTTTGCAGCAAAGAACATGGTTACTATTCTAACCATTGTATTAAATAACGAAAAGAGTTTTTAGTGTGCAAATTATTTTGATAGCCCTCCCCTTTAGAAATTATGGTACATTTTATTGTTTTTCTTAATTTGCACTACTCTTTTATTAAATTGGCGAACAAAGAAAAAAGCCAAGGGAGTGTTCGATTTTATATTTTATCTATCAAATGTCATCTAATGTATATGCAATACAATATTCACCTCAGTCACTAAATACGTTAGATAGATAATAGTTTATAATAATTAGACATCATAATAATAATAATAATAATAATAATAATAATAATAATAATAATAATAATAATAATAATAATAATAATAATAAACCACTTGCATTTACTATTTTATGGACTACGAATTTCATGTTTTTTTAATAAATATTAATATTTGTATCATTCAAGTATATAGATGTTAACAAAACATCAATTTTTGGAATTTAAAGGATAAGTTTTACTCATTTTATATAGTCAGGTTTGCACGCATGCCTCTCAAAAGGGTATCTTAATAATTTACCACTAAATAGGTCAATTTACACAACATTGAGACGAAAATGTATTATGCAAAAAGTTTGATCAACGATACCATGTCGTTTACAAAAGTTGGTTTTTATCTAATGCACTTCTAGAATTAATAAAACGAAAAAACCGATGATACACAAATACTAAATTCTAACATTAAATATACCCCCTTACCACAATGATACACAAATACAGTCACATACACACACATCAATCAGGTTTGTGGCGATGACCGATCATTATGATGTTGGAAAGAAAATCACTCATTCCAGAAAACCACTGTCATTACGATTTTCTGTTTTTAGCATTTTAAAAACCGAAAAAAACAGGGCCGTTGGAAGCACTTGACAGGATTAAAAATGGTACCTTTTTTGTTTTTTATATTCTTTTTTTATTGTTCTAAAATTAAAGGTATACAGTTTAATTTGATGTTGTATTTGGGATTGCACGCAGATCTTATGGTATACCTGGGTTTATTTCATTGGTTATGTTGTTTAGAACTCTGTTGCATAGATTTGTATTTCTAACAAGCTTTTTGTGTTTCATGTTGATTTGATAAATTGATAATACTATAGAAATGATTGAATTTAGATGAATTTTCAAGGTGATCTTAGAAGCTATCTTCAAAAGATAGGAAAGTTGTCACTTGTCCCATCAAAAGCTCTTACATTTGCTCTGGATATTGGGAGGCAAGTAATTTTTTTTTAACCTCAGTTTATGTTAATCGGGAGAAAAAAGGTAAGTTAGGATTTTTTTTATAATATTATATTAATAACATGTCCGGTTGTAAACTTTTAGAAAAAATAACTAAAAAAGAAGATCAAAGAAACGGTGTAAAAGTTACCAATAATCCTAATGGATCATTATTATGATAATAGTATTTGTAATAATATTAAAATATTTATTATTTTGAAATCATATACTTAGTATTTGACACTTTTTGCTCTTTGATTGATAACAGGGGTATGAGTTATCTTTATGACTGTAAGCTAGATCCAATTATCCACTGTGATTTAAGGCCAAAGTAAGGCAGCTAATATAGGTTCGACTAATTATATAAATTTACTTATATAAGTTCATATGTTGACATTTTTTTTAATAATTAAAATATTGGTAGGGTGCTAGAAATAATTTGCTGGATAGTGGGGGCCAATTGAAAGTTGCAGATATATAGGCAAGAGTTATAATGACAAAGGACAAACCACCAGTTTTAATTCGTGTTCTTATATAAATTTACTTATATAAGTTCATATGTTGACATTTTTTTTAATAATTAAAATATTGGTAGGGTGCCAGAAATAATTTGCTGGATAGTGGGGGCCAATTGAAAGTTGCAGATATATAGGCAAGAGTTATAATGACAAAGGACAAACCACTAGATATATAAGCAAGAGTTATAATGACAAAGGACAAACCACCAGTATAAATTCTGTTGATTTTCTATATATTTTTCTACTGTTTCTTAATGTTCTGATTATGTTAGCAAACAACCACATATTTGTATTTATGGATATGAAAAGATTCCCAAAAAGCTCATTATTTGTGTGTCACTATCACCTCTTTGGAGATGTTATTTTCCAAATTTTGGGCTTTTAAGTAGGGTGAGGCTTCTTAAGGAGCATATGAGGCTACTTGGTGAGGAACATAGGAAGTAAGCTAAACTTCGTTAAAATGAGCGATTATGGTTTCTTTTCAATATGTCATTTTGCAATATATGGTGTTTTATCATTAGTTTTTCCAAAGATTGCTTATAAAGTTTTTGAGAAAATGATGAACATTTGGAGATATTGTTTTTCCAGAGATTGCTTATAAAGTTTTTGAGAAAATGATGAACATTTGGAGATATTGGTGAAAAAGGCAACATTTGAGAAATTTGAATATAGTTGGGTAAAGCTACAATTTCTCCTTTGTTTTCTTATATTATTTGAATTTTTTTTGAAGAATAAAGACAATAATGACATTTTGTTGTGTGATTGCATATCTTCATTGGATGACTGATACTTCACTTCATGCAGCTTACAATTATGTATCTGGATTGCACATGTGTCGTCCTGATAGAGCAACATGGGATTTGATAGCTATGGTGGAAAATGGGAAACATGAGGGACCTGCTACCTATTCTGTCACATTTGTGTGGAATGGACATGAGTGAGAGAATGTGGAATTAATTGGAGGTTTCACTGGGAATTGGAAAGAACCAGTTAAAGCAATCCATAAAGGTGGGCCACAATATGAAGCTGAAGTTCGACTTGCACAGGGGAAGTAAGTTTTATCATTCTACTTTAAATTTAAGTTGACTATTTTGGTCAAACTATGTGACGTGACTAATTAATTTGATGAGAAATGTTTCAGGTATTATTACAAGTTTATAGTGAATGGGAATTGGAGGCATTCAACAACTTCACCTACAGAAAAGGATGATAGGGGGAATGTTAATAACATACTTGAGGTTGGTGACATGGCAAATGTGAGGCCTTATATTCAACATCCAAAGAAGGTATACGTGAAATATATTTTTAGGGTAAAGCATACTGACATTGTATTTTTTTTTTTTTGGATGTGAATATCGTGAAAGTGATTGAGAGGGCATTGACAAAGACACCGTGCTGATGCTCAACATGTTCAACATGATGCAGGAAAACATGTCAGCAACCATCAAAATATGCAACAAGATCGTGCAAGACCATCCAACACCATAACAAAAGCAGCATCATCCACTTCTACAACATAATACGAACAAACAATACAATAAATCCTAAGAAATCAAACCTTTCTTCGTTAGTTTTATATTTCGAAAATATATTTATTACCATCAGATAACACATCTACCCTTACAGCACGCAAATCCAAATAACTCCAACAGTCAACGCATACAAAATAATGAACATACGTATACTTCAAGCGTAAACATCTACACCATCTAACCCCCGCATAGCGTAGCGGGGGACACGAATCTAGTTGTAATTAATATTTTTTTTATTTCTTATTTTAATTTTTTTTTTAAATGTTTATTATTTAAATTTTAATATTCAATTTTTTCTAGTAAAATATTCTAGTGTACTAGTGTTCATAAAAAATAATGTGTGTAATATTCATTATTTTAAAACAATATTGTTAACATATTTTTTTAATATTATAAAACATATAATTTTAGAATATTATATATATATTATATTTTTACAAACAATAAAATATTAAAATATTTCTTTATAAAAACTTGATCGTTCTCACAAAATTATCCGTTAACAACTACTTTTATTTTTTGAAGTCTCGATTATCTAACTTTATCGCCTTTATTTTTGCTGAACACGCCAAACACCAAAGTCTTGAGCATTAGTCCTATCATTTGCCAAAAAATCCCTTGAGCAATTCTCGCTTGAACCTAAAATACAGATAACATATCACATCACATAAGTATAAGGCTACGTACACTAATGAATCATGAGTTTAATGCATGAAAATACGTAACTTTGGAATATGTTGCAGGAATATTAAACAATCCGTAATTATCATTTCATAGAAATATAAATATTGAAATTTATGTTATTCTATTCAAAATTGTATTAGCATTCTGTAAATCATACGGTTATTTGATAAATTATATATTTAGTCTAGCCAAATATTAAATTTGGTTTAAAATATTAAAGCGTTAATTCAAGGGTGGATGTATTGGGTGAACGTTAAACCAACTTTGCCATGTGAGATAACGTATTTTAAGAGTATTTTATTGACTTGAATTAGGTATAGATATTAACGTGAAATTTTGATAAATTTCAATATTTTGTATAAATTTATGGTTTAATCATAGCATTTATTTTTTAAAGTCTTAATTATCTAATTTTATATGATAATCTGTCATTTTTTGTTAAAAAAAATTGAGTGTTTTGTAAATTTGGACAAAATATAGAATAATTGAGATTTTTTTGTTCAAAAAAATAAAAGTTAAGATTAAACTATAAATTATCCCAAAATATTGACCCATTTACTAATTTACTAAACTACTACATATTCACAGCATCAGTCTTGAACTGATCCTGTTTTATAATGATTCAGTGTTTTTCTGTCTTTTCTGAAACAATTTTTATAATTAAGAAATTAAATTACATTTCAGGTGTCTTTGATTGATTTGATATCCTTTGGTTCTTCCTCTTCGGCCACTGGATATATGAAGGTGGTGTAACATCAAGAAAATATCATGCCAACTTAAAACTTTTCAAAACATTTAAAAACTATTCATCATTACAAAGGTTGTTTCTAAAATAGTAATTATCAGAGTATCCCAATATCAATCCATAAAACATGTGCACATAATATCATACGCTAGCTCATATCATATAATAGTTAACCGATCTATTAGATCACTAATCATAGCAACGTCCCCAATAATCGGGGTAAAGACCTAATTGGTCATTAACATAGCATCATCCTATAACCAAAATATTGACCTAACCTGGTCACCATGCATAAGCATATCACCATCCTAACTACCAAGATGTAATTAATAAACATATCATGCCATAACCAAACACAATCCATAAAGGGTTGGCCTTAGTACCTTAGACCCTGTTAATATAGTGAGGATAACTCACCTCACAACTATCAAATTGTAAGATAAGATCGAACTCCCAGATCACTACCACGGGCTCCACCACCTATATTCATTGTAAACCATACTTGTAAGTTTCCAATCTTTCCAAACTGTATGTCATCTAGTTAACCCATGGTCGAAGTCAAAGTCAACTGTCCAGGTCAACAATCCATGTTGAGCTCAACTCGTCGAGTATCATCAGTTACTCGTCGAATTCCTTGCATAACTCGCCAACTTGCCAAGTCACCGGAGTGACTCGTCGAGTTCCTAGTGTCAGTGGTCGTAACTCCTTGTCCAACTCGGTGAGTTTTTCCCTTACAACTTGACGCGCTCATACGTGTCCAAAGGTTGAGAAAACCCTAGCCGACTCGCTGAGTCATCGACTGACTCGCCGAGCCCAAGGCATTCTTCATCGGATTGGTCTAGTTGTTCATCCAACTCGTCGAGTTCATGACCATCTTCATATGACTCGCCGAGTCGACCTTGCGACTCGCCGATTCCCTTCAATCCTTCATCCATACAGATGCTTTTTAAGCCATGCAAAGGCTCCAGATTACAGATCCAGCCTTCCAAGGCCTGATTATCACGTAAAGTTGCAAACTTTACGTGCATGCAAAGATTTAAGGCCCTTAAATGACAAAACTAAGCTTGCAATGAAGTCTCACACTTGAGGGAAGGCTCATACTAGGCATGGCTGATAACTTTATCGATCTAGAGGCCAAAGGGAGTCCAGATCTAAAGTTACAACTTCTGATCTTAGCTCAAACATAAGAAGCCTTTCATAAAACCCATCCAAAAGAGGTTAAAAAAGAGATGAGCCAAGGAAACAACTTAATACCTTCCAGAGAGTGAAAACTGATGAATCTCTAAGCTCCTCACGAGTTCCTAGCCTTGATTTCCTTGCTTCCCCAAGTGTTTCCTCCTCCAAAATTCCTCATCCAAGCTTGAACACACCAAAAGAACACACACACACACACACACACACACTCGATTTAGGGTTTGAGAGGGACAAGAAGCAGTAAAGGGGAGGCTGGGGGAGGCTAATGATCCTTTAAATAGGTTGAAATTCCCCGAAATCTAGGGTTTCATCTGCCAGCTCCTACTCATCGAGTCCGCTCTTGGACTCGGCGAGTAGATCATTAAAACACGCGGACCAACTCGCTACTACTCGACGAGTAGGGCGGCCAACTCGTCGAGTAGACCCAAAAACATAAAAGATTCATACATAAATCAATACCTGAGAATCGGGGCATTACAATTCTCCCATAATTGAACTAGAGTTTGCCCTCGAAGTCTGCTGGGGTAAACAATGCCGGGTAATGCTCTCGCATCTCTGCCTCCGGCTCCCACGTCCACTCGGATCCCCTCCGATGTTACCACTGCACTTTTACCAAAGGTATCTCTTTGTTCCGCAAAACATTCATCTTCTTCTTGAGTATGGCCACATGCCTCTCCACGTAACTCAGGCGTTCATCAACCTGAATATCATCTAATGGCACCACTGCCTCCTGATCCACAATGCACTTTCTCAACTGCGACACATGGAAAATGTTGTGGATCCGACCAAGCTCCTCCGGGAGCTCTAGTCTGTACGACACCTTGCCAAACTTGGCAAGGACCCTGAATGACCCAATGTATCAGGGACCCAATTTCCCCTTCTTCCTGAAGCGAATCACACCCTTCCAGGGTGAGACCTTCAGGAGTACCATACCATCCACCTGAAACTCTAACTCAGATCGGCGTTTGTCGGCATAACTCTTCTGTCAACTCTGAGCGGTTTGCAACCGTTGCCTAATCTGCTAAAATTTCTCGTTAGTCTGCATAACTACCTCCGTCCATCCCATCACCCTGTATCCAATCTCACGACAACAAATCGGGGTGCGACATTTCCTCCCATACAACATCTAGAGGGTTACTAAATTCACTGGTTTTCAATGTCACAAATAAATTCAAATCAAAATAAAGTTATTCGGCATCAATATCCGATCTTTCTTCAAACTTGAGTGCTTTTTCAAGAATATGGCAAGACGACTTAAGATATTTACCTTTAATTCCACTCAAATTATGTGGAAATAAAAAAACTAAATAATTTGTCATACTCTTTGAATTGTTCAAATCTTGCCTTAAGGGAGGCACTAGCTTGATCAACAATGTATAAGAGATAATTGACTCTGAAACTCTCTTCAGCTGTAAATGAAACCTCTTCACTACTTGAACTCTCATCAAACTTTTTTTCCTTTGAATCAAACGTTTTTGTGGAAATACTGAATCAATAACCATTTCAATAACAATCTCCTTAACTTAAGCAATCACTTTTAAATAACCAGTTTCTTTATAATCCTTGAAGTACTCAATCAATATGCTTATTTTTGTAATAGAATTATCAAGATGCATATCCTTTTATTGTAACTTTTTACTCACAATATTCACTTGGTTTAATACTTGATACCAGATAACAATAGATACCAAAAATTCAAACTCACCAAGTTTTTTTTTTTCTACTATTGAACTTGCTGCACTTGCAATTGCAACAACATTTGCCTTTTCTCCAACTTCAAGTAAAGCTTCCCGTACATCAACAAGTTGTAGTTTTGTGACAACCCAAAATTTTCCATCCAGTTCAATCAAACACTTCATTAAAAGTCAAACTCATTGCTGTTATCTTTTAGCACAATTAGGAGTTTATTTGAGCGTTTTGAGCCTTGTACACTTAAGGAATAAGTGTCGGGGTTTATCTGCTGAATCTATTGCTCAAAGAACAAGTCTGGAACACCTTGACCAGGAGTTCATGGCCACCACAGGGGAGTTTAAGGCCGTAAACTCCACGTGGGCCGTAAACTCCTCCTATAAGGTGAAGTTCTGGCCATTTGTTTCATTCCTCCTTTTCCTTTGGCTGAAATCCTCTCAACTATCATCCCGATCTTCGTCCCCGATCTTCAAATCTTGTAACTTTATTGTCTTAACTAGTTGATATCTTACATGAACTAGTAATCTTACATGATTTCATCCGTGAAATCATTCCATTTTGTAGTGATGGGTTTTGGTCATAAGACATCCTATGTGCTCATACAAACCCTAATGCTTGGATCTAGGTTTCTCTATTGTACATGC